TGATATATGTCCCGCAATATGCATTGAACTCCTTGGAAGTATACTCGCCTCCATTATCAGATCAGAGACATTTCAGCTTCTTTCATGTTTCACGTTCTACCATGACGTGAAATTCCTTGAAATACTCAAACACCTGGTCCTTCATATTCAGGAAATATACCCACACCTTTCGAGAAGCATCATCAATGAAAGTCAGAAATAACTGCTTCCACCCAGTGATTCAACCTCCATGGGACCACAAACATCAAAGTGTACCAAGCTCAACAACTCTGATATCCTTGTTGAATTGGAATTGGATGAGACTCTATGTTGTTTGCCGAACATGCAATGACTGCAAGAACCCAACGCAGCACTCTTATCAACCTTGATAAGATCCTTCTTCATTAGGGTAGTCAACCCTTTCTCACTCATATGGCCAAGTATCTGGTGCCAAAGATCCTGTGAAACCTCTTCTGCAACATTGAGACTTTATGTACTAATCTTCAAATGTGTTTTGTACAGCGTCCCACAAACATGTCCTCGGACAATTTTCAGAATACCCTTTGACAACTTCCATGTGCCTGCACCAAAGTGATTTTCATATCCTTCTTTGTCAAGAGCCACAACTAACAAATGATTCAACCTAAGATCCGGCACATGTCTGACATCCTTCAATAGGATTGTACTCCCGGTTCTTATCGTTGCCTGGATATCACCAATTCCAGCAATTTCAGAGGAACTGGAATTTCCCATCTTCACCGATCCAAAGTCTCCAACTTGGTATGTTGTGAAGTATTTCCTGTTGGGAGTAACGTGATAGGATGCTGCAGTACCTACCACCCATTCTATGTCTTCTCTTGAGACATGAAGGCACGTTTCACCATGGTTAGAACAATATGCTACATCACCTGAGACAGTGATAAGAGTTTCACCACTCTTGCCCTTGCTCTTCTGCTGAGAACTATTCTTCGGCTGAGAATTGCTTTTGCCCTGCTCCTTGAGCCATTTATAGCAATTCTTCTTCATATGACCTTCTAGACCACAATGATAGCACACATGTGATCTCCGATCATCTGATTGCCTCCCCTTGCTTGTACCCCTGCTCTTCCCTCTACCACTTCTTTGTTGCTTGCCTTGTGGTCTTCCTCGATTCTCCATCACAAGGGCATGGGTCTGCTCTGTGCCCATGTCTTTCCTTCTTGCCTCTTCACTGAATAAGGCATCCTTCACAACGGACATGGAAAGTTTGTCGTTTGAGGCTAAATTGCTGAGAGTAACATCGAGTGTTTCCCAGCTATCAGGAAGGGAACTAAGAAGTAGCAGAGATTGCATTTCATCTCCAAGCGGCATCTCCACACAAGACAGCTAATTTACCAAGCTCTAGAACTCACTGGTATGCTCGGCAACAGAAGTTCCACTTTTCAACTTCATATTGACTAAGCGCCTCATCAACAAGGTCTTATTCCAAGCGGTCTTGGCCTGGTACATGTCCTCCAGCTTCCTCCAAAGGACATATGCGTCGGTTTCTTGTGCAACATGATGGAAGACACTATGGTCTATCCATTGTCGGATTTGACCAATAGTTTTTCTATTGATTTTCTTCCATTCTAACGCCTTGGACGGATTAGGGTTAATACCCTTCATCTCTATTGGGTCAAAGAGCTCTTTACAGCTGAGGAAATCTTCCATCCGAGGTTTCCACAACGTATAGTTGGTAGCTGTGAGCATAATCATAGCTCCAGAAGATGAAGTTGACTCTTCCATGGCCATTTTACACCTTCAACAATCTGTTTGGGACCAATCGGAGCTGAATTTCAAAAAATAGATAGCACCGTTGCGTCCGGAACAACCGAAAACGGGGGGGAGGTATTTTTTTTCTTTTTTTTTCCCGATGACGTGGCAGTTGACTTGCTGACGTGGCAGCTGACTAAGACCGCTGACTCGGCAAGTGACTGGACTACTGATGTGGCGGATGACTGGACCCTCCTTGCTGACGTGGAGATGACGTGTCAGATGATGTGGCGACACGTCATCATCTTCTTCCCCAGATTTTTTTTTTCAGAACTTCAGAAGGCTTTTCGGGGCAGCTCCGGTGTCTGTTTTTCGCCCGTATGATATCACCGCGACCTTCTTGACGAGACGAATCTAACGGTGTCCTCGGAATTGAATTTCGAGCACAACTCAAAAACTCGAAATTTCTATAGAGCCTCGAAAAATTTCAAAAAATAAGCTCGAAAGCTTCAACCAAACTCTGATACCACTTGTTGTGGTATCATCCCAAGATCATAAACATAATTTGAGAGAAAAACAAGTTTCTATTACTCACAAGAATAAAAACGAGAGATTTACAAACTCTAAACAAAAAACTCTCAAACACTCCACAACTCTTTCTTGGTTGTGTTTCAACACTCTCAAGGTTGATTAATCACACTCTTGGATGATTCAAATGAATGAAATAAGAAGCCTATTTATAGATACAATTAAGCACACCATTTTTGAGAAATGTGTGTGAATGTGAAGGGTTGGTGAGGTGTGGAGGGCTAGTCATTCTTCATTGGTGTGTTGCATGAAGTTTCTTCTCCCTTGGTGTGCTGTGGCATGTGCATGGAATCTTCACACAAGTGTATATATTTTTAGAATAAACAAAACTAATTACACCTTCGTATCAAAGGCCGCTCTTTTACCTAGAAAGACAATCCAGTACTGAACATGAGCACGGGCACAAACTCAAAGTACTGATAGATAGACCAAAGTGACTCCACAACACCTTGGATTGGATGTGCATTATTAGTAAAGTATGACTTATTAGTGCAAACTACAGAGATGATCGCACAACAAAACCAAGAATTGTTCATGAGTTTCACAGAATTGTTGATGAGTGATCCCAACGAGTAAGTTTGACAAACTTCACTAGAAGAAGACACTATCTGAGTATTTTCTAGGGTCTGTAATAAAAAAAAATCAATAAATTAAATTTAAAAAATTAATCATAATTGAATATAAAAATGGAGCTGACCTTGAGCGATGTTAAGAAAAACTCGCCTGGAGCCAGATGTAAAAAACGAACACTTTGTGCGCTAACTGGAGCCTCAAGAACAATGATGAGATCTTTCGAGAATGCAAAACAACCAACAATAGCAGCTCCAACGGCCAACACCGACACAAATATTCTATCTCTCAACTCTTCTAAATGGTCGTGTGTGCTCATTTCTTTATCGTCCGGGAGAAGCTCTTTACTCGGGCAAAAGAAAGTCGTAGATAGAATTTGTTCCACCATTTAGCTCATTGTTCATAAATGGACTTTCTTGTGCCTCATCACTAGACTCTGTGATGCAGTCAAGATACAAAGATTAGCGTCCTAAGCAAGTGAATACTTTTACTACGAATCAAATGCTCGAAAAAAAACACCATGCAAGTTCTACTTCAGACTAAATTTTGAAGATTTGACATATGAATCCTATATAAAGTGTGTTTTCTTTCGAATTACCCCTTTCAATAATTGTACACAATGTGACAATTTCACTAATCCAACAATACAGTTACTCCAAATACTTTAACAAAATAGCACATAGACAACAAGATTTTCTCTCCATCTCCAAGAAGGCCAAAATAAGTAAGCAACTGAATCCTTTTCGAACCTCATGTCTCAAAAATTTGATATAATCAAAACACGAACAACAGCAGTCTTCACTGTGTAGCCAATAAACTTAACAAAAAAGCATCACACAAGTAACCCGCAACTCAGTTGGTATCAGCAGTCAGTACGATCGCGATGTCGCCGGGACGAGAAGATGCCGCAAACAAACAACGTGATGCAACCTTCAACGATCGGTTTCAACAAACTGACTATCGATTTGAAGAGGTGGACGTGCGTTTCACGGATTGGTTTGCAGATCTTTCGACGGGGATCGAGGATGTGTGTTTGACGCCGAACAACGTGATTGTTGCGGATTTGCAGATGAACCGTGCCGCCGGCGACCGAGGTGTGCGCGGGGGAGTTCACGGAGGAAGTGGAGGTCGTGGTCTAGGCGGGGCGCCCCGTCGACGAGGAGACCATCTTGGAGGTGGATCCCTTCGGAGAGTGGCCGCCTCCGCCTGTCGAAACTAAGCTCATTGTTGTACACAACGGCCAACAAGGTGTGGTTTTTGAGGAGAATGACGGACTATTGTACGACGGTCCGCCTATTTTTGATGAGGAGCCACTTGTAGTGTCGATGGAGGACGAGTACCATGTGGTTGTAGAATCATCTATGAGGCCAGAGGTTGTGCCTGAAATGGATGTTTTCAGTGAATTGGAAGATGGATTTTCATGGTCTTTTATTCAACAAGCATATGTGTGATAACCCGCATAGTGTGCCTAAAAAGGACAAAGTGGAGAGTTGCTGCCATAGATTTTCTGCTTGTGAGTATACCAAGTTTATGGCCCGTCAAATTGGCCCGATCGGGATTGTGGAGCAGTTGAAGACGAGATTATTTCGGATTCGAGGGCGAATCCTTTTCGACAAGGGGAGAATGATGGAGATTAGGATGTTTAGAATCTTTAATTATTATTATTATTTCTGAATCGTAAACACTTAATATTAAATAACTATATTGATAATATTGAATTTGATGAAATTAAGTTAAAGTTGAATTAAATTTTGAATATGAATTAAATTATTTTATATACAAACACACCTAGAAACCGACAGGTGCCCTTCGGTGGCTGACTCAAATTTCGGAGTCAAAATTGACGCCAGAAAAAAGCAGATCGGATACAAAAACAAAGTTACACACTTACTCTAGGGTACCAAAGTCACAAGTGTCTCTAAATAAACATAAACTTCAAAGTAGTACATTTGGCCCCTCATATACATCAAAATCTGGATAACTAGTTCTTCTTCGTCACAAACTTATTTAATGTCTCAATTCAAAAAAAACACCACAATAACTTCAACTAAAACGAGTAGAGTTAAGTGAAACCAAAGGGGTCCTTTTAGTAGAAGTAACAATCCAAACACCAAACCACAAGACAACTTCACTTAGTAAGTATAGCCCTTGACAAACATTCCCTTCTTTGCCTCTTCACTTTCGCCCTCGGCAGAGTACTTCCCGAGCTGTGCCAACGAGTTTGCCTTTGCGCGCACCAAAAGTGCTCTCTGAGCAGCTTCGACATTTTCTGGGCGGCCTTGCCATGTCTTGAGCACAGTGTTCTGGAGTGCTCTTGCATAGGAGAATGAGACGTGCCACGGGTTGGGGCTTTGGTTCATTGCGTTCAGGTTTAGTGTTGCCTCGGCTTCAGATTGTCCCCCAGACAAGAACTGAAACCAGAAAACAGAGATTATTCAAAGGGAGGGAGAGAGAGAGAGAGAGAGAGAGAGAGAGAGAGAGAGAGAGAGAGAGAGAGAGAGAGAGGTTAAAAATGTATTAACCTCAAAATAATGCAAGGGTTGTGTTCACCTTACAAGTAAATGGTCATTAATAGGGTATTAACCTCAATACCCGATTAGGTGCTGAGTTCTAGTAAATTTATATTGGTATTGTTTAAAGAAAAGTCGGACAAGCACAGGTCAGAGTGATAAATGTATAAAAAACTAAGATATCTTTCTAATTACATATACCATGCCAAGTGTTTGTGTTCACCTTACAAGTAAATGGTCATTCTTGGGGTGAAATTCAGAAAATAAAGAGTGAAAAAGTGTACTTGTCATATAGAAAGGACTCAGGATCTTAAGTTGTCGTAAGATAAACGCCTAAGTAGTTTTATGAATAGCTCGAAATTTGTAGGAAAAACTAATGCTGCTAGTGAACTTCACTAGAAGAACTGATCCCATGGACGGTTAGTGCCAAAATAGATGACAAGTCATTTTCAAGTACCCGCGAACTTCAAGATAAGCAAGATCCTTCTTTTTTCACAATCGTGGGAATTAATATCCAAACGTCTGTTCTTAAATACAATTCTATCGTTTCATCAGAAAAAAAAAAAATTAAAAGAATAAAATAAAACACCAAATATAACGCTTAAAATGAAGCAAGTACACCACACAAGAGTTAGAAGTAACGGCAAAATGTAAGCAATATGACAAACAAAGGGTCTGTGCATCCATACCATGATTCCTGGCACTGCAGGTGGCACTCTTCTTCTAAGCATGGTGAGTGTAAATTTAGCAATGGTATCTGGAGAAGCCTTCTCTTTATGCTCAGCCCCCGGAGTTACCATGCTTGGTTTCAGCAAAATCCCTTCAAAGGTAACATTATTCTCTGCCAGGTAGTAGAAAACCTCAGCCCACACTTTTTCAGCCACTTTGAGTGTCCTCTCAATTGGGTGGTCTCCATCAAGAAGAATCTCAGGTTCCACAATCGGCACAAGGCCATTGTCCTAGATCGAATCATAAACAAATAGATAACTTTGTAAAGAGCAGTTTTGTCTTCCACTCCTAAAGCAGTGTAGCAAAAAAAAAAA